GAGGTTGGCCCAGGATCGGACATTGTTTCGTTCTGCTGTGCATGGGGTCGCTATGAGTCGGTTCCGACTCGATGGCACCTGACAACAACAACAACAACAATATTCCTGAGTGTTTTTGTGTACATCAAAAAACAAAAACCAGCAACAAAAAAAACTTCGGGTAAAAAAGACACATGTGTCAAAAGGTACAAAAGGATTTGCAGTGAAAACTACATTTGCCTTCTACCCTGAATCCCAGCATTCAGTGCTTTCCAGATGCCACCCCTCAGCATCACTACAGACATCAGAGTTTGCATCCATCCATACCCACTTTCCAGCTGTCCTCTGCAATCCCAAAGCACTCTGCCTGTTAGTAACACATTCCCAGTAACTTTATATTGCTATCTCTTAGGTTAGGAACTTCACAGATGGATGACTTTAGGTTTTATGTCCTCTTTTCAGTGTCTGTATTGAAATGCTTAGGAACCTTCCAGACACATAACAGATGTACAAGGCTTATTGAATAAATGAACAAACACTTATGAACAACTCAAATAGCAATTCAGTCAGGTGACATGAAGAATTTAAATACCATATAGATCCCAGTAGAGTTCCCAGTTCACCTTGGATACCTCTCCCCAGAATACAAGTAAAGAACATGGAGAGAAAACAATAAAGCCTCTGCCCTTATAGAACGAGACCCAAAGGGATATTAGAGCATCCGGACGCCTATACCCGTTTCTTCGTTACTATGTTGTTGTTGTTGTTGTCAGGTGCCATTGAGTCGGAACTGACTCATAGCGACCCCATGCACAACAGAATGAAACAATGTCTGATCCTGGGCCAACCTCACTACCGCCGCCACACTTGACGCCATCAATGATGTCACCTGGCTGATCCATCTCGTTGGGGGTCTTCCTCTTTTTCTCTGACCCTCCACTTACTCAGCATGACATCCTTCTCCAGCGACTGTTCTCTCCGGACAATGTGTCCAAAGTATGGTTCCAAGAACTCAAACATTTTGCCTTTTCTCTTTAACTCTGCCACCTACTGAAGGCCTTCAGATCCCATCAGCCCACCTCCCTAGGACTACTTGTACTCTTTCCTTCTCACTACTTATGAAATCTTTTCATATTATAAATTTGCCACTCATTATGAGGACACAGAAAGCTGAGCAAAGACATAATGACAAACAAACATGAGGAAGTTTCCAAATATTGAGAAATTTACAAAATTCTTAGTTCTTTTCTACAGCCATTCTGAGCTACAGAAGACCAACTGTACTGTGTTGGTCTGTTAGTACTTTGATTATGACATGAGTTATGGTCTACTGTAGGTCACACATGGTCCTTAAAATAAATGAACCAGAACTTCCTTGTGTAAAGATAAGCCTTTTAATTCTATTTTGCTTCAGTCTCCCAGTCATACTCCCGTCCCCTATATAGAAGAAGTTACTGTCAAGGCAAAATGAGGTACACGACAAATAGAAATACTATACATTTGCTACATTTAGGTAGAAAGTATATTGTTTGAACCATGACTGAAATAAATTAAAACAAAAATTTTATTATAACGTTCCTCTAACTTCCACTACCATATTTACTACTTAATTTGATGAAAAACATTGCTATAGCTTATTATTCAGACTTTCATCTAACAGTTACTTTCAGTGTTGTTGTGAAGTGCCGTAGAGTCGGTTCCAACTCTTAGTGACCCTGTATAGGGGTTTCAAGGAGCAGCTGGTGAACTTGAACCACTGACTTTACAATTCAAACGACTTTGCAGTCTGATGCATTAGCCCACAGTGCCACACCAGGACTTCTTGGAGTGCAGTGCATTAACCTGCAGAGCCAACCAGGAATCCTCTCAGGTATAGTATTATTGAAACCCTTAGGCCAAGATCCCATTTTCTATTACTCCTTGCTTGGTATGTCACTCTGTACCATGTTAACAAGTATGTTACTATGTAACAACCCTTCCATCATGTCATCTTCAGCCTTCCCTCAGCACCAGCAGCCTGTTTACCAGCAGTGCATCACAAGACCCTTCTGCAAAGAGAAGCCTCAAGGTCCCTCTAGCTCCAAACAGGATTGAGTACCTGCACAGCCCAAACAACAGGGTCTTCCAACTGCCTCGGACCCAAGAATGTCTGGAAAGGAACACATTATCAGACTCAGCTTCCTACCTGGAAGCAATTTAGAAGCCAAAACTGGACCTAGAGAATATCTAGGAGAAAGTAACGCGACAGCAGACTACCATTTATGGGTAGAGGCAAGTTAGAAGGTAGGGAGAGGTAGGAAGAAGCCAGAATCATGGAAGATGAAGGAAAGAATCCTGAGCAGCTCGAGAAAAATAAAAAGTTACCTACAAAGGAAAACCAGTAAGACTAAGTTCTGATTTCTCAGCCGAAGTATTTAAAGTATAACTAGCTGACAACACTGAAAATAGAGAACCAGAAATATCAATGCATAAAAAAGTCAACTACAAAGCAAAATGAGGGGATAGTGTAGATACAGCTGGCAAGGCAGTCAGGTAGATATCAAGATAAAAAAAACTATTTTAAATAGGAAAAAATTTTAAATAAATTACAGGGTACCCTCAAAGAAAATTATTAACAGAAAGATTTAGTAAACATTAACACAACAGAAAAGAAAGTGAATAGAAAACCTATAAACAAAATGAACCCAGCACAGAAAATTATGTGGAACAAAGAAATCAGCAGCACCAGAAAAAAATAACACAGCAAAATGACAGCAATCAAGTCATACCTATCGATAATTATACTGAATGTAAATGGATTAAATGCACCAGTTAAAAGACAGAAAAAACCAAATGGGTAAGAAAACAGGATCCTTCAGTATGCTATCTACATGCAACACAGCAAAAACATGTAGATAGCCTTAGTGGTCAATAACAGAGGAATGGTTAAATAAACTTTGGTTTAGTATTTACACATAGTAGAATCACTATGCAACATTGAAGAGTGTAGGTACTAGGGGGGATTGCAGTCATTGTAATAAGGCAAAGTATGCAGTTTGTTGAATGTAAAACTTATGATCTGCTCTGTAAACCTTCACTGAGTTCACAATAAAATGTTTTAAAAAAAAAAAAAAAGAAGAAAGAAATTTGAAAGACAGCTACCTGGCCAAACAGTTGGAAGAGATCTTTATTTGTGCCCATTCCAAAGAGAGTTGACCCGATGGAATGTGGAAATCATTGAACAGTATCATTAATATCACAATCAAGTAAAATTTTAAAGATAATTTTAAAATGGTAGCAACAATATAACAGAAAACTGTCAGAAATTCAAGGCAGATTCAGAAGAGTACTTGCAAAGAGGGATGTTACTGGTATCAGATGGGTTTGCTCTGCCATCTGGCAATGGATTGCTTTTGTTATGTTTATGAAGCAGGATGAATTTAGGGGGTGTTTTGAATCAGTCTCTTTTCAGATATAAAAAGAGATTAAATAAGTAAGGAAGGAAGCAGAGATGGAGGAAGAGAGATGAGGAGGCACAAGAGTATTTTGAAAGAACCAGTAGGTAGAAGCTGAAGAGACAAGGATTTTCCTCCAAAGCTAAACCTTCCCCAAGAGCCTGGGCTCTGAATTCGGACTTGTGGTTTCTAAATTCTAATTAAATAAATTTCTGTTTGTTGTAGTCACCCACTTTTGTACTTCTCTTACATTAGTAATTTAACTCTTCAGTCCTCTTTTGTTTTTTGGTCCATCTCACTAAAGATTTGTCAATTTTGTTGAATTATTGACAAACATGTTTCTAATATCTTTTGATATTAGGTGTCAAGTGTGGCCATGGTTGTCTTGTGAGTATGAATACTGAAACCTAAAAAGACCCCTGTTAGTCATAGCTACAAATAAATGTATATGTATTAATTTCCTAATTATATTGGAATGCTTGGTTAAACTTCAAAAGACCTCTCGGGTGTAGCAGTAAAATTACGCCATATGTATTAATTTCACAAATACTAATTTTCATCTTAAACAGAATTTGTTCTTATACTTCATTTTCTTCTTACACTAAAAATGAATTTAAATACATCATAAAGATTTTGAATTTACTTTAATTATAAATATGAGATTATTACATCAATTTAATCATTATAAGTAATTTACACACATTTAAATGCACAATGACTTTTAAAACATTATAAGTCAAAATAATAGAAATTAACAAAATTAAAAGAAAGTTCTATGAGTTTCAGTTGTTTCTGTGATAGGATACAAATAAAACATTTTATTAAAATATTATATTTTCTTAGAAAACAGTTTCTTAAATCAGATTTTGCCTTTTGAATTTTACTTCATATTTTAATTGGAGCTTCTTCTAAAGAATTATTTTATTTGAAGTTGCAAACTTCTTTTAAATATATACAATATGTACTAGATGCTGAACTCAAACACCTGAAGGGCTTGGAATCTTATGAATACAGCCAGGACAACAGTGGAGAGAATCATGAACAAAAATATCACAGTCCACACAGAAAACATTTTTGCATACATTGCAAACATACACCTGCAAAAGATATAAGAAAAGTTAAATTAATTTCCAAGAGTTAAGTACAGAAGAACTAGAAAATATTCAAGCTGTTTTGCTCTTTAAAATCCCTATCACCTTTTTCCCACCTACCTACTATTACTTCCAGTGTACTACAGAGCCGCATATCTACGGTGAGTGATAATCCCCAGCCAAACTATCCCTAAGAAATGATTCATCATTCCCAATTTATCTCCACCTACTGTAATTATACTTAGAAGGAATAACTTCATGTGAAGCTGGCCTTCAATAACCTACTGAAAACTTGTAATGCCATTTCCTCCATATTTCTTACATATTACTTAATAAGTAGAAAACAAACTTACATGCTGGTCTTTTAATTCCCCCTGACATCCATAACAAAATCTGAAAAAGAAAGTCCATGAATCATTTTGCTTAGGATTCACTCATAATAAAAAACAGTTCAACCAAATATTAATCATTGGTGTTACTGCTGTGGTGTGTGCCCTTGAGTTGATTAGACTCACAGAGACCCAGACACAGAGGAAATGCCCACAGGGTATCAAAGACTGTAATCTTTATGTCGGGTCTTTACTCCTGCAGAGCTGCTTGTGGGTTCCAACTGATCTGCTCAGTTAGCAGGCAAGCACCTTATACACTGAATCACCAGCACTCCTTTATAATAATGGTTGTTATTGTTGGTAAATGCTGTCCAATCAGATCCGACTCACAGTGACCTTGTATACAGTTTCCACTGAGAGGCTGGTGGGTTGAACCACTGACCTTGAGGTTCACAGCCCAGTACGATGTGAGCTAAGTCTCTAAGGGTCATGATAAAGGGTTGGGTTTGTTAACTTCCAAAAATCCATCCTTCATGGTTAGCACTCAACTGCTTATCTTACAGTGTCATAGAACCCCTTAATTAATAAGTAATTATGTTAAGCATATGACTTCTAGAAGAAGGAGTTAAGAATACTGATAATTTTTTTTAATTCCAAAATATGTCTCAAGATTAAGTGACACCCTAACATCTTTTTTTTTTTTTAGATTTTATTTCCATCAAGGTTATACATGCATGCAGTTTAGCATCCTTTTTCAACTGGGTCTCTATGAGACAAGTAAGTCCTAAAGAAAATCATTTGTGGGACAATTTTTCCGTTTTCACAAAGATGGCAGACAGGGCTTTTCTAATTTTTCCCCCAGTCACTAATTCAACCCCAGCCTTTCCCTGAGTTGTCTAAATCTCCTCTTGATATGTTCAACTTGTTTATTCGTGTCATATCTAACTCATACGAAAACGATTCATAGTCCATAAGGTGTCCAAGTATGGGGAAAGAGCAAATGAAATGCTTTGGAGGACAATTTTGAAATATCTAAGTTTACATAGTCATAAAGGTATGAAGTGGCGGGCTTACAAGCTTTCATGAGGGTGCTTAGTGTCAGAATGTAGGGAGTAAGACAGAAACCCAACTGAATAATTTCCCTCCTGTCCAGATGGGTCTGGTAATGAGGGGGATAAGACTTTATGATACAATTGTGAGTAACTGTTTTCAGCTCTAATGGTGATTGTCACAAGTGTAAGTGTACAAGAGGTACAACTAAAAGGGGGAGCAGTTTATCTGTCATCGCAGGAACGGCGATGCTAGGACCATCAAGAGGGGAGAACATGAGAGGAGCGAAGGATCCTGACCAGAAAAGCAGCGATAACAGAGATGGTGATGGAGGTGATAGCATAAAGACAGAACAGGAGTGAACTTTAGGCCCATGGACTGAGAAAGCTTTTGGGATCTTCACTTGCTGATGGGGCACAACTCAAAATGAGAAGAAACAGCTTCAAACAGCCATTAATAACTGAAAAATGGACCTCTTAGGTGGAATACACAAGGGTCATATTTACTAACAACATATGTGAGAAGAGATAACAGGCAAGCTCGAGATCATCAGTCAAAATAAAGCCAGGGGCCAACTGGGGGACAGATCATCAATTGCTCTTATGCAAGTTCAAAATGAAGATGAAAAATCTTAAAACAAGTCTATGACAGCCAAAATATGACCTTCAATATAGCCCATCTGAATTAGAAAACATCTCAAAAATAGACTTAATGCATAACAACACCATGGATAAAATGATGACTGATGCAGGAAGCATTAAAAGAAGATGGAAGGAATATACAGAATCTCTGCACCAAAAAGAAGTGGTCAATATTTCAAGAGGTAGCATATTTTCAAGCACTGATGGTACTAAAGGAAGACATCCACGCTACACTGAAGACACTGGGGGAAAACAAGCCTACAGGAATTGACAGACTACAAATAGAAATCTCTCAACAAACTGATGCAGCACTGGAGGCACTTATTTATCTATGCCAAGAAATTTGGTAGACCAAATTTCTTAGCCAACCCAGTGGAAGAGATATAATTTGTGCCTATTCCAAAGAAAGGTGACTCAATGGAACATGGAAATCATTGAACAAATTCATTAATATCATATGCAAGTCAAATTTTATTGAAAATAATTCAAAAATGGCTGCAGCAATATATCGAAAGGAAGCTGACAGAAATTCAAGCTGGATTCAGAAGAGGACATGGGATGAGGGATATCATTGCTTACATCAGACAAATCTTGGCTAAAAGCAGAGAATACCTGATAGATGCTTGTTGCTATCATTAACTATCTTTGAGCTGGCTTTGACTCATAGTGACCCTGTAAAGGGTTTCTGAGGAGCGACTGGTGAGTTTGAACCATCGACCACACAGTTCAAAACTGCCCTTGCGGTTCAGTGTATTTATCCTGCAGTGCCACAGCAGGACTCCAGAAAGATGCTTACTTGTGTTTTGTTGACTATTCAAAGATATTTGACTATGTAGATCATAGAAAACTATGGATAACATTGTGAAGAAGGTATTTCAAAACATTTCATTGTGCTCATGAAAAACCTGCACATAGAACAAGAGGCAGTTGTTCAAACACAACAAGGGGCTACTGAATGGTTTTACATCAGAAAACGTGTGTGCCAGGGTTGTGCCATTTCACCATACTGAGTCAATCTGTATGCTGAGCAAATAATCCAAGAAGCTGAATTATATGAAGAAGAATGTGGCATCAGGATTGGAGGAAGACTCATTAACAACTTGCAACTAAGAAATGCAAAAGACACAACTTTGCTTGCTGGATGCAAAGATGCATTGAAATACTTACTAATAAAGATCAAATACTACAGCTTTCAATATGTATTGCACCTCACTGTAAAGAAAACAAAAATGCTCACAAGGAGACCATTAAATAACCTCATGATAACCAGAGAAAAGACTGAAGTTTTCAGAGACTTCATTTTACTTGGATCTGCAATCAACACTAATGGAAGCAGCAATCAAGAAATTAAAAGATGTATTGCAATAGGCAAATCTGATGTACGAGATCTCCTTAATGAGCTCAAGAGCAAAGATATCACTTTGAGGACTAAGGTGTGCCTGACCCAAACCATAGTATCAATCGCATTATATGTACTTGAAAATTGGACAATTTATAAGGGAGACCACAAAAGAATTGATATATGTGTATTACAGTGTTGGAGGAGAATATTAAAAGTACCATGGACTGCCAGAAGAACCAAATGTCTTGGAAGAAGTACAACCAGATAGAAGCCAGGATGGTGAGACTTCATCTGTTGATCTCTTGTACTTCGGACATATTTTTAGGAGGAACCCATCCCTGGTGAAGCATTCCATGCTTGGAAAAGTGAAGGTCAGCAGAACAGTGGAAGACCCCCAACAAGAAGAACTGACAGGGTGGCAGAAACATTGGGCTCCAACATAACAGCATAACACAACATAACACCCTCGTGAGGATGACTCAGGGCTGGGCGGTGTTTCCTTCTGTTGTGCACAGTTCTATGAGTCAGGATTGAACTAATGGCACCTAACAACTTCAGACTTTATTAGTAAACATTTCATAGCAATCATCAAAATAAATACTAGGCTTTATTAACGTCTAGGACCTAGATCAATTATGTTAAGTAAGTCTCTTATTTTTTAGTGGCATGATAGATCTGGACTACATCAGCTCAAGAGAGTTTACTGGTAAAAATAATCAGGAATTTAGGGAGCTGGTTGCTAGAAGTTTGCCATGGTGGAAGCAGCTAACTTCCACCAAGCTTTTTAATTTTTTTTTTTTCCTGAGAACTAACTTGCTAGCATACCACCATCCTTACTATAAAGGCATGTTTAGGAAAATTAATACATTTTTGGAAATCCAGATCTATTTAATAATGAGTTATTTCCATCATAACCAACATATTCTATATTTCATTAGAAAAAAAGAAGTAATCTTGTGTAAATTAATATGATTCTCTTTTTAGTGTAGTAACAATCTATTCAAACTTTTCTGTAGCACTTACCACTTATGTTGTTGTTGTAGTGTGCCGTGGAGTCGGTTCCGACTCATAGCGACCCTACATAGGGTTTCCGAGGCTATAAATCTTTACGGGAGCAGACCGCCTCATCTTTCTCCCGTGGAACCATTGGTAGTTTCGAACTGCTGACCTTGCGGCTCGCAGCTCGATTCATAACCACTACACTACCAGAGCTCCTTATTACCTCTTATAACAAATATAAATTAATCAAAATTTACATACTTTTCTCCATTATATTCTTCGAGGGAAATTTCTTGAAAAGCATCCAAAGGAAATAAATGATGGTAAGACCGTGCCAGATGGGGAGCAGACACCAAAGTAAGACCTAAAACATAAAAAAAGACGAGCTTAATAGCCCATATCTCATAAACTTAATGACTGAAAGGTCAAATGGTAAGACTTAGACTAAAAAATTTCATGCTTCTATAAGGGTTCCAGGTATTCATTCCTTCAGTTTACCTGCAACCATGAAAAGAGATTCCAAGATGGAGTCTCAGTTCTGTCACTAAGTGACTATCTGACTTTTCTTGGCCTCTTTGCATAGATGGAATAAAATTCTATAATTCTATCACTTCCGTTTCCCATTTTGTGAAAGTTGTTGTTGTAGTTAAGTGCCGTTAAGTCAGTTCCGACCCGTAACGACCCTGTATAGGGTTTCTGAGGAGCAGCTGGTGAACTTGAACTACCGACCTTGCAGTTCAAACTGCCTGAAGTCCAGCACATTGACCTGCAGCACCACACCAAGACTCCATTGTTAAGGGAAGTACTTCAAAAACATCTACAAAATTAATGGCATTGCCTTTAAATAAGATGCTTTTCCTAGAAAGAATCTGGAAACTCTTCTAGACTTTATATTTATTCCTAGAAGTAGAGTACTTGACACCCAATGAAGAAAGCCATCCATTTCTTTTTTTCTCAGAATAAATCTTGAAGTACAGGAAGAACTGGACATTTACACTTATTTTTAGCAGCAATGTAGGTAAAAAGTTATTTAAGATTAAATATTTGGAAACGGAATAATGGATTTCTTACCACAGATTTTACATTCAACAGGGAGTTCACAATACTTGGCCCGACACTGTGGGCAAAAATAGCCTCCTAACGTAAGCCCCGGCTCAGTGCTGTTATCCAAATGCCTGTAGGGGAGAAAGAGATGAGTAAAGACATGAATAGAGCTAAAGCAAGTATGTTGGCTTGAATTTAAAATCCTGAAGTCATCTCATAGTTCTCTGAACCTCTGTTCACTTTAAATTTTAAATGGTTTCTTCTGAATAGTTTTCTATAGCTGTTTTCTTCATTACTCTTTGTTTTGTTTTTGCAGTGTTAATCCCATCTGGTGTATTTTTTAAATCTTACGTATTTTATTTTTAATTTCTAGAAGTTTGATGTGGTCTTTTTTTTTTTTTTATTTTAAATCTCCATATCTCATCCTATCACGCTCCTGTTTGCCTCGACATTCTGAACACAGAGTATATTTATAATAGCCGTTTCAATGTCTGTTTCTATTAATAACTGTGTTATTTTTTAGTGTGTTTCTACTGAACTTTTTTTTTTTCCTTATTAGGGTCAAATCTGCCTAACAAGGAATGCCTGGTAACTTTTGACTGGCTGCCAGACATTGTGAATTTTGCTTTTTGGGGATTGCTGGATTTTTTTTGTCTCCCTTTAAATATTCTGGAGCTTTATTTTAGAATTTAAGTTGCTTGAAATTGTTTGATATGATCAGAACATGCTTTTACGCTTTGTTGGGCTAGTCTAGAATAACTGTTAATCTGGGTTCATTTGAATCCATTTTTGTGGACTCTATTCAATGTACCTTAAGTTAAGAAGTCTTTCCACACTGGGCAACATGAACCATTTCCTGCCCTGTTTCAGCTCTGGAGATTGCCTCATTTCCACTGTTCTTTCCCTGGCCTCTGGTAGCTTCCTCATGGGCATGTGCTGAACAACAGTCAGCTAAGAACTCACGGAGAACTTTCTGCCAATTACCAGACCCTCTTGGTGTAGGTGTTAACTCTTTCCTTCCTGATACTCTGTCCTGAAAATCTAGGTATCTCAGCCTCCCCGAAACTCCAGACTTTTTCTCTTCAATTCAATAAGATCTTTGGGCTCTGTTTGCGTTCCCTCTCTGAACAACAGCCTGGAAATTCTTTCCAGGGAGTAAGTTACAACAATCAAAGTGTTCACCTCATTTGTTTCATTTATTTGAGGAATTGCATGTTGTCTAGTGTATCAAAATTGTTATTTTATATATTTTGTATGTTTTTATGGTTGTTTACGGCTGAGGATAAATCTTGTTCCTGTTATATGTTCATTTTAAAATTTAATTTTGTTTTATAATTATGTAAAATATAAACTTCCCAAAGAGGTATATTCAGAAAAGTCGATAGTCCATACTTTTGCCTTTCCCCACACACCCTCCACCAGGTAATCATTTCAAAAAACATTTGTACTTTATACTTCCATTACTGTTATATTTTTATTAAAACAAATATATAAGGGCTACAAAAATGTCTACCAAATCTACTGCATTGCCTTAGAGTGCCACCTTCTACTCTGTCTCCTCAGAAGAATTGTAACATACTATAGACTTTTTCTACCTTGCTCTTTAACTTAGTAATACAGTTCATTCCACAGAAGTAGAGCGAGGCTTCATTCCTTTTTACAGCTATACAAAAAGCAATATTTTGAAAATGTCATTACATTGCAAGCCCATTTTAAAAGTGTATAAATGAGAATAAGGAATCAAAGAGCAAAAGATGAGCACTAATAATTTTGAGGTCTTTACTTACGCCATACTGAAAGAAGGTTTTGCATCTTGGTCAGACAGGGAAGCAATGGTGTGCTGAGGAAATCCTTCATAAAAGAAAATACATGACTGTCTTATCCAAGAAAATAAAATTCTAAGTCTAGGAATATCTGAAAGTGTTCTGATCAGAAAGTTTGTATAAAAGTTCTCTCTCCTGCTTTTTAGATATGCTTACTGTAAAGCTGACTATAAATCCAAATAGAAGAAAAACTGAAAATGTGGGCAGTGTGCGAAACAGCTGACTGCACATATGACTTCTGATTCTAAAATTCATGTCTACATTTTCTAATTTAGTAACAACAACACATACTAGTATTTGTGATTTTTTCAAATACTTTCGGACCAACTGGAACTTCTATTACATATGAAGAGGCTTCAAGAATTGTGGAAATTTTTTAGATCCAGAGAGGGAGAGTGACTGTGTGCTGAAGACCTGGGAGGTACGGGGGAAGGACTGCATGGAGGGGATTGTAACCATGGCAATGAGACAATATATACGACAGAATAAATGGTAAACTAATCTTCTCCCATGTAAACTATCACATAATTCACAATAAAACATTTAAGAAAAAAAAAAAGGAATTGTGGAAATTTTACATTATCTTTTCATTTGACTTTTTCATGAACTTTCTGAAGCCCCTTTGTACTTCACTTTCCCTTTATACAAGAATTTAAATTTTGGAATATCCAAACTTTTCATGTAGTGTGCTCCTTGTATATATTTTCTAAACTCTGAAAAGATACTTAGAAAAAGCACAAACTATAAAGAGATTTTACTATATAAAGATTAAAATTTTAACTATATATTAAAATATAAATAAATAAAATAAAGACCAACCAGAAAATAATTGCTTTATGTGACTGAGAGTGTTATACAATTTTTATAAAATTGTTAGTTTTTAATGACTCAAAACCCATCATTCTATCCACCCCCCACACACTGAAAAAAAATCACTTCTAACAATTTGGTGTATTGCACTGTCACTTTTTGGTTTTACATAGTTTGAAATATTGGGGGTGGGGAATGAAAGATGGTTCAAAAAGTTTCTGGACAAATTCCATTGTTTTTCAATTCCATTTTTCCATGAACTTTTTTGAAGCCCCCTCATATACAGCAGTGATCATACAGTGGAGGATTTGGTCACTTGTATTTTAAATTTCTTAATACAACAAATATTTTCTCCATCAACAAAGTGTTCTATGCCTTTCTAACCTTGATAAAAGACAGCAGTGTTCTCTAATAGGATTACAGGTGGGTTTTATTTTTGTATTTTTACTTCTCTGTATTTTCCAAAATTGCTCAATATACATTATTTGTTTTCTAATTACAAAATATTTGAGTGAAACAAGAAATACTTAAGTGTTAAAATATCAATTTATATATATGAAAAAACAAAGCTTAATGAGGGAGCACCACTGGCACTGAAATATAAGCAATGGACTGCTAACCACAAGGCTGGCAGCTTGAGCCCACCAGCTGCTCCTCAGGAAAAAAATGTGGCTTTCTGTTCTCATAAGGACTTACAGCCTCAGGAACCCTATGCAGTGCCACATGAGTTGGAACCAACTCGAGAGTACTTAACAACAACGTGAACCAAAATAAATATTTTTAAAAAACAACACAAACCCACTGCCACTGAGTCAACCCCAACTCACAGTGCCCCTCTATGGGACTTCTGAGACTGTAAATCTTTAAGGCACAGACAGCCTCATCTTTCTCCCACAGAGCAGCTGGTGAGTTGGAACCACTGACTTGATGATTAGCAGTCCAATGCTGATCTCACAGTGCCACCAGTACTCCTTTAAAATAGAAAGTGCATATTTTAAAATAATATAGAATAAACACTTACCCATACGAATAAGCGAGCATTCTGAACTGGAGCTGGCAGGAGGGGGGCTAACATGATGGTTTAGTAATTCTTTGTAATGGCTTTCATCTAAAATCACATGGTATGAACCTGATAAGATAAAGAGTTCAAAAAAATCAGCTTTTCAGATATAAGAACAATTATCATGTCTATGTAACTCTGTCAACGATAAAAATTGTCATTAAAAAAAACTTTAGAGTGGGAGAGGGGCTGTGTGCTGACGACCAGGGGATAGATAGGCTTGTAGAGCACACCCTTTGGTTGGCTGATGATGCATGGAGGGGATTATAACCATGGCAATGAAACGATATACGATAGGATGAATGTAAAGCTAATGTTCTCCCATGGAAACTATCACATAATTCATAATAAACATTAAAAAAGAAAGAAAACAAAACAAAAAAAACTAAGTAGTATCTCTAAATTGACTTTATAATTACAGTTTAATTATAGTCAAATCATGAGATCATCACAAAGTATTGCATACAAGAGAGCTTTGAAAATTTTGTGGAAAAATTACATTTATTTTCATTCCATTTTCCACAACCTTTTTGAAGCTCGCACATATAATGAAAGTCCTAACTTTCCAGGAGTTATATAGTACTTCCTCTAAATAGTCACATAAATACTGAAGATGTTCTAACATTTGAGGACATGGCTTATAGAATCAATGATGTATTTAAGATGACTACAAGATATGAGTCCTCGTGTGGTGTTGCAGAATAAGCACTGGTCCACAAGACCAGTTTGAACCGCAAGGTTGATGGTTCAAACCCACCACCAGCTCCTCAGAAACCCTACACAGAGTTGCTATGAGTCAGAACTGATTCAATGGCATTTAACAACAGGATACGAACTGGTATAAATTAATTAGCTTAATAACACATTAAAACAGTCTAAGTATTTTAATTAACAATGTTGGTTTTTTTACATAGTAATTATGAATAAATATCGAAGATTCTAGATATATACCACCAGTCTCACGAGCAAGTACAGTGCAGACCCGAACCTCTGCAGACAATCCAATAACAGATACTCTAATTTTAGCGGCCTTTAGAGTCTTCATAAAATCCAAGTAGATAGAAGGTTGAAGCGGACAAGGAGGGAAAAGAAAAACATTTAAGAATTAATGTGTTTGAAAAACAATGCGCTGAAAAGTAGCAGTGAATTCATTACAGAATTTTCTTTAAGAGTTGCAACTTTGGATTTGATTATAAAGAAATGTATGGCTCTACCTTGATTAAATCATAGATATTAGATGGATCACAAGTTGTAAGGCTGCTAAAGATGATTAGGACTTCTCTACTTGTATGTCCTGGCATGTGTCTAAAGAAAGATAAAATACATAGCAAATTACTTTAATGTAAAATTTACTAGAAAAGAACCATACACATAGTTTATGCATTTAGATTATCTGTTGTTGTTAAGTGCCATAGAGTCAGTTCCCAGTTCCAACCCACAGGGACCCTGTACAGGGTTTCTGAGGAGCAGCTGATGAGCTTAAACTGCTGACCTTGTGGTTCAAACCGACTTTGCAGTCCAGCACATTAACCCATGGTGCCACACCAGGACTCTGTATTTTTACTATAGAAGACCTAATTTGTTTCAGCACTGCAAGAGAATGAATTGTGAATATACTTTAATGAACTACACACATCTTTTCTTTTTTATGAATTCATTGATTTATTTATTGAGTACTCTTAAAGTCTAAGGCCAGAATAACAAGCATGACTACCAAGATTCCTAACAATATGAAGCTTACAATCTGTAGGTTTGGTTCACACAAAATTGAAAATGTATACTGGGAAATACGACAACACCCTATAGATCAACTTGCAGGTATATATGAGTGGCTTACTTCTTTCTCAGACTTCTAGTGTGGTGCTGTAGAATTAGCACTGGACTGCAAACCACACGGTTCAAACCCACCAACTGCTCCTCAGAAACCCTATACAGGTTTGCTATGAGTCAGAACTGACTCAATGGCACTTAACAGCTTTTTTTTTTCCCCCTAAAACTTTGAAGCATATGCCTCACTTACAAAATGTAAATTAAAAATAAAATTATCAAAAAATCATAAATGTCATGCTATATTTTTCCTTCCAAATAATGCTTCCATTATAATTGGGTGTATGGAGATTCATATTAGTAAGTTATCATTTCAACTTAATGCATTCAAAAGACTTCTCAATCAGTTACAAATAGTAAAAGGTAAAATACTAACTTCAGAGTCTGCATAGCCATGCTTAGGGAGTTATAAAGAGATGGTTCTCCATGACAAGTCATATCTACAGCTTTCTTTAAAGATGTTATGTGTTTCCTCGGGTTTCCTAGAATAGAAATGGAATAATTTATTTTTAATAAATAAACTAGTGTATACATTATAGAAATTTCTGTTTCTTCCAAAATGTAGAGATCTGTCATAGTAAGCCACCATTTCTCTGTCTTTTATCATACTGTGGTGGCTTGCCTGCTGCTATGATGCTGGGAGCTAGGTCATCAGTACTTAAATACCAAGCAGGTCACCTATGACAAAGAGGCTTCAGCAGAGCTTCCAGATTAACAGAGACTAGGAAGGAGGGCAAGTTGATCTATGTCTGAAAACAGAAAAAAAATAAAACAAAAAACTGGCCAGTGAAAACCTTATGATCCCCGTCCATACACAGAGTAGACAGGGATGGGCAACTTGGATATTGGCTACCCAAAAGCGGGCAGGGCAGTAACAAAGGCAAGAAGTGACTGGCTTACAAACTTTCAAGAGGGAGCCTAGATCCAGAGGGTGCGGAGGAAGGTAGAATCTCCACTGAGTAGTATCCAATCTGTCTGGGCGGGGCTGATGAAAGGAGACGCAGACAGGTCTCTTGTGATACAACAGTGAATAATTGTTATGAGGACTAATTATGAGAGGTGAAAATGTAAAGGTAGACATTTTGTAGCAAAAGGGGGGGAGTGATTAACTTTGCAGTCTAGGCGCAGAGATCCCTGGGACCATCAAGGGAGAAGAGTGGAGAGTGGGATCCTATCCAGAGAAGCAGTGACGCCAGAGATGGAGACAGAGACGATGATGTAGAGAGATGGAGTGGCTGGGGACTTTAGACCCAGAGAGGGAGAGGGGCTGTTTGCTGATGACTGGGGGGCAGGCTTGTAGTGTGTATACCCTTTGGTTGGTTGATGATGCATGGAGGGGATTGTAACCATGGCAATTAAACAATATATGATAGGAATGAACGTAAAGCTAATGTTCTCCCATGTAAACCATCACATAATTCACGTAATAAAACATTAAAAAAAAACCCAAAACCCAACCTTATGAATAGCAGTGGAGCACAGTACAAAATACTGCAGAAGTGTGAGCCCCTCAGGATGGAAGGCACTCAAAGTAAGATTGGGGAAGAAGTGCCTCCTCAAAGTAGAGGCAACCTTATTAATGTGCAAGGAGCAAAGCATTTGGAAATCTTCATTTGCTGATGGGGCATGGCTCAAAATGAGAAGAATCAGCTGCAAACATATGCTACTATTTGGAATGTGAGATGCATAAAGTATGATTCTAGGAAAATGAAGTTGTCAAAAATGAAATGGAATAAAGATAGGTATCGTAGGCATTGTTGAGCTGAAATACATGAATTATTGGCCATTTAGAATCAGACAAACATGGCTTACTATGCCAGGAATGACGAACAGAAGAGGAATGGTCATAAACATCATCATCAAAATAAGCATCACAAGATACATCCTCAAAACTATTGAGGTGGTATATGTTTTGCTGTGTATATTCTCAATAACCACAAAATAAATAAATTTTAGAAAAGAAAAAAAAAAGACATATCTTAAAGTACAGTGCCAGGATAATGAATATACACCTAAAAGGAAGACCAATTAATATGACTACTACTCAAATGTATGTACCAATCACTAATGCCAAAGATGAAAAAATGGAAGGTTTGTACCTACTTCTGTAGTCTGAAATTGAACAACCATGCAACCAAGATGCATTGATAAATGGCCCTTAGACACGCTTCAAACCTGGAACTAAACACATCAAGGATCACCTTTCAGTCAAACAAGAGACAGGCCTAGAAAGTGAACAATTCCCATGAGGAATCCACTACTCAGAGAAATCAACCACTGGCAATAAAAATGGGCAGTATTTGCCCCAAAACAAAGATCAAATGGCAGGAAGGGCAGGAAAGAAGGAAAATGGAAATGGGGCTCCCACGGAGGAAGTGGAAACAATGCTATTACACTGAGGGGATTGTAATGTAACAAAACAAAATGTACAGAAATTGTTGACTGGGAAATTAACATGTTCTATAAACATTCACCAAAACTACAATTAAGTGTTCACAAAAAAAGATGAATTGAACCACTGTGGAAAATTATATGACACTTCCTCAGAAAGTTAGAAATACTGTATGACCAGCAATCCTTCTGCTTGGTATACATTCCCAAGGAATAAGAGCCATGACATGAGTAGATATATGCGCACCCACGGTCACTGCAGGTCTGTTCACAATAGCAGAAAGATAGAGACAGCCTAAATGCCCATCAATGGAAGAGTGGGTAAACAAACTTTGGTACATACACACAAAGGAATACTATGCAACACTGAAGAATAATGATGAATCTGCGAAACACCTCATAACAGCTGAACCTAGAGGATATTATGCTAAGTGAAATCAGTCATTCACAAAAGGATAAATTTATGAGACCACTATTTGTAAAAACTCAAGAAAAGGTTTTCATGTTAAAACAAATATTTTTTGATGATTACCAGAGGTGGGAGGGCAGGGAGAATTCACTGGCTAGAGAGTTGACTTGTGTTAACTTGGGTGATGGGGAAGGCAATATACAATAAGGAAATGATAAAGACAGGTGACGACACAGGAAGATGTGCAAGGGTTAAAGGAGATAGAGGTGACTCTGTTATATACGCAAGCCTGCAACAATAGTGTTCTACAGCTAGATAACTGAACAGAGCCACAGGCTGAATGAGCACTGGAAGGAGAATGGGAGTATACCCATGGATATATAAGGGTTAGACAGAGGATATCTGTACACGGGTGTGTATGTTTGCTGCAAACCTACCTATGAAAGTGGTGAATCATACAGGGGACACGATGAAAACCTCCTAGACATTATCAAACACTGTAAGGTAACGGATTGCTGGGCCTGGAGTGTCAGGACCACCGTCTCAGGGAACAGCATGGTCAGTTGGCCTAACATAGTTCACAAAGCCAATGTTCTACATCTTACTCTGGTGAGTAGCAGCTGGGATCATAAATGCTTAAGAGCAACCCTGTACGGTGCAGCTATTGGTCTCTCCAAGTGCACAAGAAAGAAGAATGATGAAAACTAAAGATGCTTGGAAACAATTAGTCCAAGGGACTAAGGGAACATGTGAACATCAGTCTCCACGACTCTGAGACCAGAAGAACTAGATAGTGCCAGGCTACCACTACCAACTGCTCTGAGTACAATCACATTAGAAAGTCCCAGATAGAGTAGGAGACAAGGTGAAACAAAACTCAAAATTATAAAAAGGACTGGGCTTACTGATCAGAAAGACGCCGAAGGAAACTGAGACTATGTCCCTCAGCCACTCTTTAGGTCTGGAACTGAGTTGAAACTTGAGGCACAATTTTCAACCACACAGTAAACAGGTACACAGGGGGGAACAGCACTAGTGAGGTATGCTCACAATTCAACCATTCAAGACCAAAAGGGCAACAGTTACCTGGGGACAAGGTTCAGAGGAATTGGGAAGGAGGGCAGACTGGAAATAGAAATGGAAAAACCATAAGGAGAAAGTGGGATAACTGTTGTTACATGGAGGGGACTACAGTCATTGAGATGAGACAATTTGCTGACTGTAAAACTGATAATCTGCTCTGTAAATCTTCACTCAATTCACAATAAAAGGTTAAAAAAAGAGAGAGAGAGATGCACTGATAATTACTGGTGATTAGAATGCACACATTGAAAATTAAAAAGGATTAGTAGCTAAAAAACATGGCCTTGGTCACAGAAATGACCCTGGGGATCGCATGAAAGAAAACAGTTGCAGCAGTACATCAACAGGGAAATTGCCAGAAATTCAAGCTGGAGTCAAAAGAGTGGATGGATTGAGCAAGTCACTGCTGATGTCCAGTGGAGCTTGGCTGAAAGCAGAGAATACCAGAAAGATGTTTAGTTGTGCTTCACTGACTATGAAAAGACTTTCAATTGTATGAATCATAACAAAGTAAGGATAACATTAAAAAGAATGGGAATTCAAGGACAGTTAGTCGTGCTCATGTAGAACCTGTACATGGACTAAGAGGAAGTCATTTTGAAGTAAACAAGGGGATGGATAAAGTAAAGAGTCAGCCAAAAAGAGGAAGAAAGATCCTCAATGAGCCTGATTGACACAGTGGCTTCAACGATACAAACAATTGTGAGGCTGGTGCAGGACTGGACAGCACAGGGGCAGTAAGTCAGAGTTGACTTGATGGCCCCTAAGAACAACAACAACCAACACAATACTTTATTTCCCTGCCCACTGTGACTGCCAATGGGGGCGTACTATAAGCAAATGCAATTAGAGTCCTCCCTGGCACTTGCAATCAATCTACAACTACAAGTGTTGATAAAGACTTGAGGCTATCAGTGAAGCTAATATTCCCAACAGAAAACATACCAGAGAAAGAAGGCAGTCAGAACCAGCACCTCTGGAAATAACTGTACGAAAAATCAGCCCTACTCATGAACATAAGCCAACAATTTCATTTTGAATTTTAGCTACTTTAAGGGTTTTGCGGGGAGGGTGCACATTACAACTGAGTTTCTTGAGTCACTCAAAGCTACTGTACATTTCACTCCTATGTGTCATGGTGAGGATGAAAGGCTAAGAATAAGATATTTGTTGTTGTTAGGTGCCATTGAGTTGGTACCGACTCATAGTGACGTTATGCACAGCAGAATGAAACATTGCCTGATATAAGGATAGTATAATTTACAAAAAATAAATCAGACTCATGATGTAAATTTGCCACGGTATAAACACAAGGCAAATAAAACGCACCATTAGTGGCTGTGGTGGTATGCCGTGGAGTCAGTTCCAACTCACAGCGACCCTGTAAAGGGTTTCTAAGGCTGTAAACCTTTACAGGAGAAGAAAGCCTCATCTTTCTCCCTCAGAGCACCTGGTAGAATCAAACTGCAGACCTAGTGGGTAGTGCTCAGCAGCCCAACTTGTAACCCACTACACTGCCAGGACTCCAAAAATGCACCATTACTATCCCTTAAAAGACGAAAATTCAGTTAGGCAAGTAATGCAAGCAGAATCATTAACAATAGTCATAATTTAATTTCTATACTATAACTCTTTAAATTTGAGATGTAATTTCTCTTAAAAATTAATTTTAAGATTACGTGAATATCAGGGGGGGTATGGTGACTCCATAGAATAAAAACTGGACTGTGAACCACAAGATCAGTGGTTCAAACTCACCAGCCACTCCGTGTAAGAAAGAGGCTTTCTGCTCCCACAAAGATTTAAAAAGCCTCAGAAACCCTATACAATATCGCAGTGTCGGAATGGACTCAATGGCACTTAACAACAAGAAGTGATGCATGTCATGAAGGGCTACAATAATTTTTCTTAATACTATTGGGATAAGAATGTATAGACCTTAGATAAATATATTTATATTCATTGTATTACTACTCACTGCTGTGCAGAATTCAATTTAAAACAGTTACTCATTGAGCTAGAGTCTAATGAAGGACTTCTTATTAAGTTGTTCCACATAAAGAGCTTAGGAAGACTTCTCTTTTCTTATTAGGCAGCCGCATAAACAGGGTTATAACTAACACTGAATAAATAATGCAAAGTCCTGGAGTCCTAGGTCTACTATCTACCAAAAGCAATTTAATGCATATCTAAGTATGAGCAAAACATACCTGAGAGTTCAGTCAGTTTTTCAGCTCTCTTACTCTTAGTTACAATTATTCCAATCTCAAAACAAAAATAAAAATGACCTATTGTTAATTTAACATAAAAAACACTATTGCCTTAGAGTAAGAATCAACATTATTAAAACAAATTAATTATTACAATGGAATAAGCAACATGTTAGACGCTTTTATCCCTTTTGGCAAATAAATTTAGCTATGAGTTCACTGTAATTGCTTAAGTTTTAGCGTTATTTTGCTTTACACCAGTTTTCTGTTGGGATCATTTAATAATTTGCAGAATACATGCATTATTTTACAAATAAATTACGTTTGGTAGCAATAACAGGAATCTTACTCTCAAGTCTATTACTATGTACATACCTGACTGATAGGATTTTGATCAAAATATTCCTCTACAAAGTATTCCAAGAGCTGTTCAAAGAAACAGAAATAAAACACTAGGTAAGAGCACAGCAGCAACCAGACGCCAAGCTTAATGTTTTGTGAAAATGATTATCAAGGACTCTTCCTATGATTCTTAATCTTTTAAAAGAAGATTTTACAAAATTTGTCACTAGTAAAACTACAAAATTAAAGTGAGCTAGTAACCACTTTATTTTTAAATGATAAGTGATAAGATGGATCTGAAGAAGGTCTTAAATGGGTTCATTTGCACACATCACACAAAAACAATTTTAAGGACGAAGACAGAGACAAGAAAATAACAGCAGAATTGAGAAAGAGTTTTTGTTTTTTAAATTAGGAATAATCTGAATGTGTTTGTAAATCGTGTAGACAGATTCAAGTAAAAGGAGAATAAAAATTCAATAAAGCAAAAAAGCTGATAAAGCCAAGAATCTGATTATATTTGTTGTTCTTAAGTGCCATCAAGTCAGTTTTGATTGACAGTGACCCTGTATAAGGTTTCTGAGGAGTGGCTGGTGGGTTTGAACCATCAACCTTTCAGTTAGCAGTCCAGTGCTTATTGTACAGCGCCACATCAGGACTCAGCTGATTAGAGTGGAAAGGTGGGAATTAAGGGCGCAGATAATTAGCTACTTGGGTTTATCCTTTCCCTAAATAATACTATAGGAATTCTACTTGGCTATAGTTTGTATGAGGAACCCTGGTGATGCTGTGGGCTGGGCATGGAGTTGTGAACAGAAAAGTTAGTGGTTCAAACCCACCAGCCACTCTGAAAGAGAATGATGAGGCTGTCTATCCCCATAAATATTCATGGTCTCCGAAACCCTACGGAGGACAGCTACGAGTTGTCAGTGGGTTGGGCTTGGTTTTATCATTTGTATGGGGAGTCCTAGTGGCACAAAAGTTAAGCACTCAGTTGCTAACTGTAAGGTGTCAGTTCGAACCAACCAGCTGTTCCATGGGTGAAAAGACGTGGTATTCGGCTCCTGAAAAGGTCTGCAGCCTAGGAAATGCTACAGGATAGTTCTAGTCTGTCATACAGGTCACCAGGCGTCGCATCGACATAGTTTGTATGGTGATGCAAACAGTTAATGCGCTAGGCTGGTAGAGAGTGCAGTTCACTTCTGACACATGTGAGGTCACTATGAGTCAGAATCAACTCAAGAACAAATGCTAACTGTTAACTACTAACAGTGTTTATTAACTTTAAAGAATAATAAAACTGTATTCTTTAATATATATTTTTAAATTCAGTATCCTTTTCCACATTTAGTATAAATTAAAATGCTTTTATCATACCTTTAAAGTACATGTCAGTCTATTGGGCTTTAAATCTTGGTCTTCCATTGTTCTCGATCCATCCACTACCACATACAGGTGGCGCATCTACCAAAAAAGGCAAATAAGGGTCATTTTCAAATACATTTTTAACTAAAAATTAAAATAGCAGTTTAATATCCTCTTCAATCTACATATGCATTTTAAATAGTCTTTTAAAAGGTTTGCTCTGGTAGCGTAGTGGTTACGAATCGGGCTGCGAACCTTAAGGTCAGCGGTTCGAAACTACCAGCAGCTCCGCGGGAGAAAGATGAGGCTTTCTACTCCCGTAAGGATTTACACCCTCGGAAACCCTGTACAGGGTCGCTATGGGTCGGAACCGACTCGACGACACTTAACAACAACAACAACAACTATTTTACAGGGTGCGGTGCTGTAGGATGTCCACTGGACTGGTAACCATAAGGTTGGCAGTTCAAACCCACCAGCCACTTTTGAAAACCCTACACAGTGTTGCTATGAGTCAGAACCAACTTGAAGACACACAACAACATTTTACCATTGTTTATTTTACTGAGCCAAAATGTTCCTCTACCCAAACTAGTTCTGAACCAATAAAGGGAAAAAAATAATAACATACCATTCCAAGTCGAACTTGTCCATGGTGCTCAAATACTCTGTTAAAATTATGTAAACATTTTTAATGAAATACCATGTACCACCCTAAACAACTTTCCAACTACCCTACATTTTCTAATGAAATAGTATTTAAAATGACTAAACTATGAACTCCACATAATTATAAACACTTTCGATGGTTTTCTGAAGACCTATCTCCTTGCTGAGGACAGGGTAGGCCACTGGTTGTCTCCCCCAATTCAGAAGGCAGCAGGCCAGTGTCCCTTGGAATACAGTTGAGGTGAAGTACTTCAGAGTGGGTAATAGGTAGACAGAAAAGCTGAAGAGAACGGATTTTACTGTTTGCAATATGCTCATGACAATGTACATACCTTTTTCTCTTTGCTTTGAAGAGAATGTCTTCTATCGTAGCTTTAAGTGATCCAGATTCATCTTCTTTAAGAATTTCCCTAAGGAGGAAATGAAACATGTGGCTAATTGTCTCCATAGACAACTGTCTCCTTTGCCAGGAGAGCTGAACTAGATGATGCCTGGCTACCACTACTGAACTTACATCAGAGAGTCCATAAAAGAATCCTGATCAAAAGGGAGACAACACGAACAGAATTCCTAATTCTCATGGAATCCATGGAGGTTGGATGAACCCCTGAAACTACTGTCCTGAGAGAATCCGTAAACCTTAAACCAAAAATATCCTCTGAGTTCGTCTTAAAATGAGACAATAGCTGAGCTTAACAATAAAGAATGTTTGCCTTGAACATTGTGCTTTTTCAAGATCTATTTGGCAACAGCAATTTCAAAGTTTAGTTAAGAAACGTAGGGGCAGTGAGTAAATAGGTATTAGCTGGTAAAAATGTTCTAAAATTAGTTAATGGTGATAGCTGCATACTCTTTGCATTTTCTAAAAATCACTGACTTGCACCTTGGGAACAGGTGAATTATAAGACATATTAAATATACCTCTAGGTTCTTAAAAAAGAAAAGTAAATCATTGCAATGAAACAATGAGTGTAAAATTGATGTTCTCCCACATAAACTATCACTCAATTCACAAGAAAAACTTAAAAAAAGAAAGAAAAGTAACATCTGAAAGAGCAGAGAGGGCAGTGCAGTACTTACCATGTTCTTTCATAGCCTCCTTCCCATCGCTTAGTTCTTTCAGGTTCTTCATCCATTTCTTTCTCTTAAGATGTATTAATTCAATATCCTATAAAAATCATTAGACTGTTACCACTCTAAAGAAGTTTGTCAGATGCAGCCAATGAAAATTTTAGGTTAAAGAAGTAAACACAAAAAATTGTAAATAATCAGAATGGACAGGTCCTTGCAGATTTTGTAAAGAAGTGTTATAATCCAAAGACAGTTACTGAGTAGTTAGTGTACAGAGCTAACTGTACTTCCATTCTGATTATTTACAATTTTTAGTGTTCCCTTGTTCTACTCAAACAACTGCCTCTTGGTCTATGTATAGGTTCCTCATGACCACAATTAAGTGTTCCAAAAATACTCATTTTCCACAAAGTTTTCCTTTGCTTATTATGATCCACACAGTCAAGTCTTTGCATAATCAATAAAGCACAGACAAACATCTTTATGATATGTTCTGTGTCCAGCCAAGCTCTATCTGATGTCAGCAATATCCTTCGTTCCACATCCTCATTTGAATCTGGCTTGAACCCCTGGCAGTTACATTGTTGCAATCGTTTCTGAATTATCTTTAGCAAAATTTTACTTGCACGTGATATTAATGATATTGTCTGATGATTTCCGTATTCTGTTGGGGCACGTTATCAGGAGGAACCCGCACACGGAGAAAGACATGATGCTGATAAAAGGTGAAAAGCAAAGATGAAGAGCCTAAATGAGAAGGACTGACACAGTGGCTTCAATAATCAGCTCAGATAAAGCAATAATTGTGAGGACAGTACCGGACTGGGTAGTCTTTCGTTTTGTTGCTATGAGTCAGAACCTGTGACTCATAGTACAACACATGGCTGCCAAAAATACATAGAATAAACTAGTGGAAGTCTGTTATAGCAACAGAAATAGAGTGTGGTGAATAAAGATGATTACAAAGCTTTCACCAGCATTGACTGGATCACAATTGAAATGCTCTTTCTGATGGCTACTTATCAAAGAAAGAACAACTGAAGGATGTTTGAAGGGAAGTGTCTAGGAAGGTGAGGAGGGACTGACATCGAAGTTGCTAGCCTTAAAAAGAACAACCGATTTCAATCATCATAAAGGGAAATGTGAAAGATGATTTACGCTTGTTCCATATCCATGGTGTGGAACAATTAGGACCAACAGGCAGAAGTTACAGAAGCAAATTAAACAAGAACTTTGCAGTATCTCACCTCTTCTGAGTTTTAAAACTTTTTAAGGCACTCTGGTAGCGTAGTGGTTACAAATTGGGCTGTGAACCGCAAGGTCAGCAGTTCGAAACTACCAGCTGTTCTGTGGGAGAAAGATGAGGCATTCTACTCCCATACAGATTTACAGCCTTGGAAACCCTGTACAGGGTCGCTATGAGTCGGAACCGACTCTACAGTAGATAACAACAATCCTTTAGTTTTAATTGACTTTATCCCCTAATGACCTTCCTAATGACCTTCCACAGCGCATGACACCAGGTACTTACAACCTTGTCCTGCCTTCCTGAAGCTTCTTTGGCCCAGATACTGGGCAATCATTCCTAACCCTGTCTTTTCTATGTCATACCTGTGACCCTTAGAAGTAACTAGCTATAAGTTCCCATCACACCTATATGTGCTCTCCTCCCCAGTGGCATCTCCCTTTCCAATCCACTCTCTGTTTCCTGCTTTCAGAAATAACAAATAAAGGGATCCTGCTTTTTTACTAAATGCCGTAGAGTAGATTGTGACTCTTAGCGATCCTGTGTAGGTTGCTAAGTGGAGAGTTTCCGAAAAACAGCTGATAGGTTTGAACCTCCGACTGTGTGGTTAGCACTCCAGTGCTTATCCTACAGCACCACACCAGAACTCCTAAGTGCCAAAAACTTAAGGATAAAAAAATTCCTTTCTTATCTAGACCCATAGAGGGAGAGGGGCTGTGTGCTAACAACTGAGGGGCAGGCTTGTGGGGTATACCCTTTGGCTGGTTGATGATGCATGGAGGGGATTGTAACCATGGCAATGAAACAATGCATGATCGGATGAATGTAAAGCTAATATTCTCCCATGTAAACTATCACATAATTCACAATAAAACATTAAAAAAAAAAGTCCCTGTCTTTGGTAGAACCAATTAATTCTTGTGATGAGGACCATAACTAATTTCATTAGTATCACATGCAAGTACAATTTTGCTAAAGATAATTTTTAAATGTTTACTTCAGTACAACAGGAAGCTGCCAGATATTCAAGCTGAATTCAGATGAGGATGTGGAACAAGTGATTTATTGCTGATGCCAGATGGATCTTGGCTGAAAGCAGAAAATGCCAGAAAGATGTTAACATGTACTTTACTATGCAAAGGCATTTAACTGTGTAGTTCATAACAAACACTGAGAGGAATAGGTATTCCAGAACACTTAATTGTATTCATGAAGAACATGTACATCAACCAAGAGGCAGTTGTTAGAACAGAAAAAGTGTTCTGTTGTTAGAATAGAAAAAAAGTTCAAAATCAGGAAAGGTATGAACCAGGGTTCTATCCTTTTACCATATTTATTCAATCTGTAAACTGAGCAAATAATAATCCAAGAAGTTGTATTATATGAAAAAGAATGTGGCATCAGGATTACAGGAAGACTCATTAACAATCTGAGATTTGCAGATGACCCAACCTTGCTGGAAGCTAAGAGGACCTGAAATATTTACTGATGAAAATCAAAGACTATAGTTTTCTGTATGAATAGCACCTCAATGTAAAAAAAAAAAAAAAAAAATCCTCACCATTGAAAAAATAAATAACATCATGATAAATGCAGAAAAGACTGAAGTCACCAAAGACTTAATTTTGCTTGCATCCACAATCAACACTCATTGAAGCAGCAGTCAAGAAATCAAAAGATGCATTGCATTTGGCAAATCTGCTGCACAAGACCTCTTTCAAAAATGTTCAAGAGCAAAGGCATTAGTTTGAGGACTAAGGTGGGCCTACCCAAAGCTATGGTATTTTCCATTGCTTCATTTGCATGTGCAAGTTGGACAATGAATAAGAAAGACTGTATTAGAATTGATACATTTGGATTCTGGTGTTGGCAAAAATATTGAAAGTACAAACAAATCTGTCTTGGAGGATATACAGCCAGAAATTTCTTAGAAGCCAGAATGGCTTCTTCCCTCATTCTTTGGACATGTTATCAGGAGTGATCAGTACCTCTACAAGGACATCATGTTTGGTAAAGTGGAGGGTCAGCAAAAAAGAGGAAGACCCCCAATGAGATGGATTGACACAGTGGCAGCAACAATGGGCTCAAACATAACAATTGTGGGGTTGACAAAAGTGCGGATAGTGTTTTGTTCTGTTGTAGCTATGAGTTTGCACCAATGGACAGCACAAATGTGGTACTACAGCACACAGTAACTAGAGCATTTTGATCCAAGTAAGCATTTTTTTTTTCTATTTATTTTGAACCTCAAAAACCAAAAGCTTGTATAATGTTCTTCTCAATGTTCTTTAACATGATTCTTCAAAACATGGCTACCGCTGTTCATCGCATGAGTCTTTAAACTGTATTTTTGATTTATCAATTTTAATTATCTGCAGGTTCAGAAAGAAAGGAAGAACTAATGAGAACATTGGGTTCATTGTACTCAAGGACTTTCTGTCACCCTCAAATCACAGGATTCAAGGACTTTTTTGAATTACATTGTCTAATGCGGTGGAATCCTGGTGTGACGCTGGTTTACAAGGTTGGTTTGAACAGCAAGATCGGTGGTTCAAGTTCACCAGCCACTCCTCGGAAACCCTGTACAGGGTCACTAGGAGTCGGAACCAACTCGACCGCACTTAACAACAACAACATTACAGTGTCTGTAATGATAAACCATAGGGATAGGACATGAAGTATTAAAATCTCCATAACTCTATATGTTCAACCCAGACGCTGGATATTTACAATCATCTGTCCAAAGTGAGGGAATTTATGCATTCCTGGAGAAAGATGTACTTAGTGACCTCACTGATACCACCTTCAACGTCTTATGACTTTTCAATATTCCATCTTTTCATCCTCACAAATATCGCCCATCCGTTTCTCTGGAACCCAATCCGCCCCCTCCTCCCCCCGCCAAAAAAAAATTCTTTTCCCAGCGTAAACCTATTGGTTTGATTCCTATCATAGGAACTCAAAACGCTATTTGCAAGCAAACGAGATCTGCAGTAAACATTGACGTTTAAGAAGCTCTTCCTCACACCTTCTCCTGCCAAGCTATGAGAGAAAACGGTGATTCTGTCTGCTTTTCAGGTGTGAAACCAAGTTCAAAGAAGTTTGGGGACTGGCTCGGTGTCACACAGCTGAAGATGGAGCAGAAAGTCGAACCCAGGACTACACTTCCTAAAAGTCACGCTTCTCCTTAGGGAGAAAGAGACATTTTTCCAGACTGTAGCTGCAGATGCTTCTCTGCAGCTCCCCAGACAGAAACCGTCATCTGCCTCCCTCTCCTCACACTCCTTTACCCCTCATTCCCTCCGAAGCCGGGGCAATTCAGCCCAGTGTCTCCGATCGCGCAGCTCCCTGACCGTCCCAGACACAACAAACCATTGACCGCCTTCACCGCCTCACTCACCGAGCCTGCCGGGCCCCCGCTCTGCCAGGAAGTTCCGCCCTATACGTTTCTGTGGGCTCTTTGGAAGTCCTTCCGTCGCGCGCTGAGACTGCGCATAACCGTTCCGGCTGCTGAGGGCGGCCGCTACCTGAGCGGGGCGCTAGTGAGCAATAGGTTGGCCCCTCGCTGATTTTGTAGCTCGGGAGAGAGTGTCTACCAGTCTTGCAGCCTGTGTAAGCCATGAGGCTGTAAAATTCCGCAAAGCTGATTCGTCCATTGGCCGCAGTTAGCTCTTTTGAAGTCGTAGGCGGAAACAGCCAGGGAGCAGGGCTTAATTTTTGTTTCTGAAAGATTGGGATAAAGGACGCCGCCGCCGCCACAGCAGCCGCAGTTAATCCCAGGCATTGCTGTGCGCAGCATTTGTTGTTGTTGTTAAGTGCCGTGGAG